AACCTACCTCTCAGCGGTCGGCGCAACCTCACATCCAATTCACACGTTACCCGACCCCCTACTGATATCATAGGTATAATACGCGTGGGACCTCAACTTTATGACTGGAACCTGGTTCTGCACACAAATTACCAAAGAGGAAGTCGTGATGAAGTGGATGTCCCTAAGTCACAAATATGGCAGACGGAAATGGACTAGTTATAAGTTGTCAGTGCAATCATTCCCTCAGGTGAATTTGCAACTGCTAATCGGTACGTATCGGTTATAGTTGCGGCCGCCTGAGTGACGATGTCGTCCGTTCATCTGAGTCATTTGATTTTATGAAGAGAAACTCTGACAAGCGACCAGTCTACTTGGTACCAGGCAAATACCCGCAACACTATAGCTTTAATTCGAACCAGCTATGAGTGACAATATGGAAAGCTATCGAAATGCTTACGATCCCTCGTGAAGTCGAGAGGCGCGCTGTTACTCCCACAACCCTGGTACGCACAAATCACCAGGGTCGTTTGAAAGTGTTACCATTAATGTAGGCAAAAAGTACGAGTGACTTTTCATGCGTTGATCTGGACTGCGTTTTCATCAATGTAATGCGCACGTGGAAAATTGCCTACTTAAGCAATGCGAAAAGGGACTAATCGCTCATAAGAAAGATCTCAAATTGAAAGAGACAAAGGAAGGTGGAAATATGATGGTACATGATTTATTCCTACGAGTACAAATATCCGTTGAGCGCAAATAGTTTCACGCAATGTTCAACACCGACCAGAACAGCAAGGGTGATTATTGCAAATTAGCTAATCTTCGCAAGTATTTAAGCCGGTCTCCCGTTGATTCATGATCTCAAACACAAGAAGCAACGGCAGATTTTAACGCATCATATCTTTTTTTCCTCACCTCAAAGCGACCTACACGCGCATTGGCTAGTGTAAGTCTGTGGCATGCCAAGTCCCTCTGTAATCCATCAAAATGCCATAAAGCAGGATGACTGCAGGAATTCAAAGCATTGTGAATTCCACCGTTGCAAATGGCGGTTTTCGGCGAGTTATCTAGTGGCATCGTAATGGTTCCACATTTGCAGTGGATACTGCGGTTCTCGGCCTGCTGCGCCTTCAATGTAAGTACAGATGAAATGACTGAGAACCGCATTATATGATACTTCATTTAGAAATGTGTTAGCAAGGACATCAAAACTCCTTTCGTCTAAGCGACTGGGACTAAGGAAAGTGCAGCCAGCGACTTTAGCTGTAGTTGGATTGACATCCATTTCAAAAGCACTCTTTTGGCCGACTTTCGTTTAATTACTACGCCGGGAAATGCCAACCTTGCAGCGTTAATACAAGTCTTCTCAAAATCGACTAACACCTTTGTTTGCATATATCCGGTAACATTAGTTTCATTATTACATTCTTGTATAGGTCCGCAACAGGATGTAAATGTAAGCGGGATAACTCTTGCCCACGGCAGATAAAACGTGTTTGGAATTTTTCGAAAACACCATCCCAGTATATCGTATCTGTGCACAATTCAATTATAAGTTCTTTATCACCTAACACGAGAATCCTTTCTGGATCATCAATACCTGAACCATGTAGTTAGTTCGGAGTAGCGAGATTTGTGCATGTTGGACAAGGAAAATGACCGCTTTTTCGGTAACTCAGAAGAGTTCTTGCAACAGAGGATTGTTTCGGAAAGTGGGCCAGAGAACCACTACACATTTCTTATAACGTGCTACGTGTATCACTGACTGACCTCATGTCCAGTTTTATTTGGATTCTTGCAGCATTTGCTTCCGCTCTTTGAGGACATGGTAGCTGACCTTCCAATTCTAGAAGTCGAAGGTCAGTAGAGACCTATAAATACAGTCAAGGTCCGCAGTAGTTGTACAATGTTCGTTGACAGCGATTAATACGTTACTTTGTCAAGGTCATTGGCGTTTTGCCTTTTCCTTCGGTTGGGCTAGAAATTTTGTGGAGCAGTAAATTGTTATTTTTAGAATTGGGTTTAGTGAGAAGATTATAACAGGTGCGTGCCAACTTCCTGGATTGGGGCTTCGGGACGGTCCACACCAATGATTGCAGACCGTATCAGACATGGCACAGTCAGTTGCGTCCCTGCTTATGGTTATTAATTTTGGTTCCATTATGATTGGTTTAATATAATTCCTTCTTGCTTCTACACCCTTTACATAATACCCACTATCTTGCCGTTGTTACGCATTATAATTCTTGCGATGTGTGTCGTGGCAACTGGATCTACCGCACATTGATGTTCGGATCATAGTTACTCAACCGAACTGAACAGCCTAATGTTCAAGGTATACTTAGGAAACTTTCCTAACTGCAAGTCCGTCAAGGATCAAAGGTCTGGGACCTTACCGTTAAAACGGAGAAATGGTTACGCCTCGACATATTTAACATCGAGACCGGGTTGCCAGGTATGACAGTTATTCGGCACGACAGACCCAACAAAACGGGAGATGTGGTTCTGTAATTTCACAATAGCCAAATACGTGAGCCTATGAAAGACATGGTCAATAAGGTATAGGATTCTCTTTGGTGCATTCTACGTTCAAGAGGCGGTGACGCCTACTTGGTGGCGATCATCTACTGACCTCCGCTTTCCACGTCCGAGATGGACTTTTATCTGGCATCTGCACTGAGGCGGGTAATAAACAAGAAGTACAGTCCCAATCTTAATACTGTCGATCTCAACATCCAAGCTCTGGAATCCGCTCTTGGTGAACAGTTCAAAGCGGATCTACAATTGTAGATCCGGTGTATGGCCAAATCAACACTCCCAGCAGATTCAGAGAAAGTGATAGGTCGTGTATACTGCATTTAATATTCACCAATGACGAACTGATGATCGAGAGAGTGGTCATCGACGTCCCCTTGGGTCGCAGCGACCATGTGGCCTTATTTCTGGAATACATCAGTTACGCAGAATATCTCGTGGAAACTGCCGACGATACGAGGACAATTATACACTACGACATTAGCTCGATTAAGCGAGGCAAAAAACTGGACTTTTCCGGCAGACGAGACACTAGCTAAAGCGTGGCAATAGTTCGTCTGCCAGTTTAACACCGTGGTCGCGGAAGCATCAGAAACTAAGGCTGTTCATTAGGAGATAGGAGCTCTGTTTGGCGTGATTACGTGGCTGCTTTAGCGAGGACACCCGGAGTGTCTACACAATCCAACAAAAGATCGAGTGAAAGTTTCAGCGTGGACAGAGCCCAGCCCAACAGCACCCTGTGCTGAAATTATGCTCAATTAAGAAGATACCTTACAGATACAAGCAATATGTGGGATAGTGTAGAAATCATGAGAAAAGCCAGCGATCTTGGACAACTCAACCGTACATACCAGAGTGAGTAATCACTCAACAGCCATATCATCGTGCAGATTAATAAGTGTCCCCTTGTTTTCAAAAATGTGTTGAAGCGACTGATGTCCTTGCGTGAGAACTACCCTCTAGATGAAGACGGCATTCACCAAGGCACTGTAGCGTGTAAACATGAACGTAATTTTGTTGTCAGTTAGGTCTTTGCAACGTCATGGTGAGGAGTAGGTTCCCACTAGGTAGAAGCATGGGAACGTCACCCTAATTTACAACAGTGGCAGTTGTGCACAGTGGCTAATTATCACCAGATAAGCTTCTTTCTGATCTATACTAGAGCCAAGGCATTAAAGGGGAACATGGAGGGTAGCAAAACCGTTGTGACGGATCGGAATCGGTCAGGCATCACGAAACCCTTGACAGCTCTTGCAGGTTGGATGGAATCTGCCTACGCTGGGGTAGAAGCCGTTGTTGTCCATCTAAACTGATCAATAGCGTCGGACCGCCGGTTTACTGGACACACCTCGGAATTTTGGCATCGATTATCCCGCCCTGAGCTGGATGGTTAAGTTAGCTCTTCAACATCATCTGAATGAGGTTGCAGAACCTTGTAAGATTTAATCATAGTACAGTGTAACGTATATGCACAAACAAGACATAACCACCCCACTTCATTCGACTGTCTAGATCCTACTTCTACCGCATGAATTATGAGATGATCACCTGACGAACTTGTGGAACAGTTGCGATATGGTTCCCCTCAGTTAAGTACTAGCTTACTCATAAATGACCAGGGAAAAGCTGTCAGAGTAAGAAAACTTTGGCTAGTCGCCTTCACTGCTAAAGCGCAAAGTACAGAGATGAGACTAGGAGGCTGTCACTGTCCCTTAATGAGTACTGAGATCACGGTTAAGCAGCTATAAAAAAGGCATCAGAAGTACGCCGTATGGACGCTTCGTTGCCACGCAACCAACACCAGTCGGTTGAGAGTCGCCCGGCCCCCTGCGCAGGCTCGAACCCGGGACTTCCAGATTGCAAGGCAGACGTCTTGTTCGTTCGGCCACAGGTGGGCTAGCAGCTATATCGTCAGCAACGTAATCAATAAGGTCGTTGTGGAAAAAGATGAGCCCAGGTGATGTTTCGAAAGGCGGTAAGGAAGCGGCTTGTCGAGAAAGTGCATAATGCACAACGCCGTAGGGCAACCCTAGCTATTGTGTAGGTCAGAAACAATGCTTGTATGCAATGAGTACACCAGCGAACAAGCCTTCTTCGACAAACGGTGCATATAAAGGTTGAATACATATGAGAGAAGCAGATGGTGATATGTGCCCACAGAAATTCGACTACCCACATTGACCGTGCTACGTTAATCACGTTCCCCCACCGTCAATCTAGGTGGGCTGTTCGGCGACAATGAGCCCTATTGGTGGAAGGTGGCGGCTAGCATTCAATGTAGTGAGCGGGTGGGTCAGGTGGAAATGCTGAACGCATCTAAGGAGGGTGAACCCGGGAATGTGTATATTGATGATCAGGTGCTGTTGGACGCAGCGCAGACGAGGCAAAGATACTTATGATTTCAGTTTCGCACTAACGACCTGCTGCATTCACTAAGTGTCTTTGTGCTTCCGTTTGTTCCATCAAGTTGGCACTCTGCATCTGGTACAGGAGTTGATTTAATGAAACTATGGCGTATAATCCATAAATAAGGCATAATCGTAGCTTAACGCATACCTTAGACTTAATAGCAGGAAAAACAATATCTGCATGCGAAACGCTTTCAAACAATAAGGTCAAAAATGACTGCGGAAGACCCTCACTAATTATACACAGATGTTTTCTGGTGAATGAAAATTCAGTATACAATAAATGGGGATAGGGACCTTTAGCAGTTGTATGATGGAACCGATTAGGATACATGTAAGGAGGAAAGCTCCGACTCGCGTAGTACACGAGGCAGATAAATTGAGAGTACCTTACTCAATAAGGATATTCCAAGAGTACGAAGAGAAAGCAACATCAGATAACTGCTTGATAGGCATGCGAACCGGAGTGCATGTTGCATACAGTAACTAATATCGTTGACAAAGTTGTATTCATAAAAACCAATGTAGTAGAAATAGTTCAAAAAATAGGAAGAAATACGAAGTCTGATAAATGGAGGCAGACGCAAAGTAATTTTGAATCAGAATGAAATCGTTGGATCGCAATGCCAAATCTTGGAAAGCTAAAAATGCATTTCAGCCTCGGATGACTTCGTCCTCCGATATAGACCGAATGAACAGGTGTCACACAAGGCGCACTATGAAGGGTCTTCGTATGCGCTCAATATAACCTTGAACAAACCTGGGATAGACTTTCGAATAAGTAAAAAGAGATAGAGACAAAGCAAATGTCAAGAAGTAACCTAGGACATAACAAACGAACACTTTCTTTTTGGAGGATCACTTTGAAGTACGCGCAATTTCTATGTAAACCATGATTCACATTGAAGTGAAGCGCGGTGGATGTCAGCACCGGGACCGCGCTTTCGGGCGGGCAGCGCCCAATTTCCGAACACTTCCTTTGATTCAAGACGAAAACAAATGGAAGGGTATAGTTGAACGAACAATAGGGAAAACGAAACAGTACTAAGACCTCACTGCAGGCGTAGTTTTCTTCGAGACCAGTGAAGAGGTACACAGTTCAACTGCTTCATAATGAAGAAATAAGTGGGTCGGGCAACCGCGTTTCAAAGCAGAATAACTCTTGCGCATGGCCTTAAAACGGAACCCAGTATGTCTTCGTGCCCTCAGCGAAAATCGTGGGAGAATTTTAGTCTACTAACCGTTGTTAAATTTAGATTCCTGGCTGTGGACCAGGAAAACTAAAGTCGGAGGACAGTAGGACGCTACTTCAGAGTATCAAATAAACAAGCTGAACAGTCAACACAAGCACACCTATTATAGGAAACTTACGAACACAACTTCAGTGTTCTGCAAAAATAAAGGGATCTCAATATGAGCAGCCAAGTCACCGTTAATGAACGCTGGATGCGCAGAAATCGTAAATGGGACTGTTTTGATGGTCGAAGTTGCATGGATCACTTAGCAGCTCGTCCCTATTCGAAGTTCAATGACCATACCTCGAGAATTGGGCACATTTCTCGGCATTGGCGACGAAGACTGTGACTTCGAACCTCAGTCCCATTCATGGAAACTTTTAACGCGAGAATACCAATTGAGTTGCATGCCCATTCAGCTTCTGGTAAATGGTCTTCTCATTAGGCCCACAACCAATTCAACCGTTTTCAAGAGTTTCTCGTTCACAGTCTGGTTGGTGCCATTCATTTCGGATTAAGCTTCGGTCCTATTTGTACTTTGTTCTCTTCGTACACATCGTACACTGATCGGTTGTTGGCCACTAATTCACTTCTCATCCGATGAAAAAAATCTTCTGTTTATGAAGTTCTTAGAAGACGCATTCTATGTTCACTTATTCGACCGACATTCTCAAGACTGTAAAAAGAAAGACGAAAACTATTACGACATTCGCGGAACAGTGCTTTATTTGTACATACAGCGGGAAGATGGTGGTAACAATGCAACATATTGGTTAGGCAGGCGAAAACTAAGTGGAAAATGCATTTGACACAAACGATTTGTCTTCGGCTGAATGTGACATAAAGAACGTGGGGAGTTGACCTTAAGCGTTGTTCGTGAGCTCACTTACGATCATAACTGCGGGAGCGGGATCTTGAGCGAGAATAACGACCACGAGAAATACTACGTCTTCGTGGACCAGCCCGTCTGAAAATCAAGACGCAACCATACGGGCGTTTACTGATGGCAAAACAAGATGAACTCGTTGAACAGCGTAAAGGCGTAAACGAGAAGTCCGAAGGCGTAACAATGGTAAGCCAAGACAAAGCACATGGTGCGTGCATTTCTTATGACAACAGAATCCAGTGCAACGATAAGTGACAAAACAGTATGCAGTGTGCAAAGTGAGTGGAATTGTGAAAAACTCATTCAGAGTAGTTATAGATAACCAATAAGACGGTATCGAAAGCAATGAGTTGTACTTCCTAGCATTTAAAAGTTTTCAGATATGCAATGCGACTCCAAAAATGCGCCAAACGGCGACGAGTTTTGACTGATAATAAGCTTAACGAAGGTAACGGAAAACTACTGCTAAGCGGTTTGACTAAAGTTACATTACCATCACCACGCCCATCATTAGTCGCCAAAATATCTTCATAACTACTGATGGCATCTGCTCCAGATTCAAAAACCTTGTCATCATCAACAGCAGTAATAACAGCAATTTGAACTGCTGCCTGCTGCCATACAACCTATTGAACGAAGAACAATAAGAGAGAATTGGGAGTTACCTGAAAACCTTAATGCCTTAAACAAACATTCGAAATCAAGGTTCCTACATCTTGTCAACAACACTGTTACAAACAGCCTGCTAGCGTACTAAGATAAGGCGGCGTCGGCGAAACAGCTTCCTTGCGGCTTTCACTGCCCCGCGTCATAATCAGCCATTACACCGAAGATAACTCAGCACCAAACACACTATAAACAAGCAGTCTGACTAGGAGACGGTAGCAGGAGCGCCACTGGTGTCAACTGCCAGCCATGTCCTGTGAAGTCTCGAGCCAAGCACAAGGCGGGTCACGTGGACTCCAGCCTGGTCGTCAGTGACTTCATTTATCGCTACCAAGTTAATAGCTGTCCACTTCGGACCTTGCGCTATCCTACATCTCGGTAAGCGGTGACTGGGCATACGTAGAACGTGCCCAAGCAAACGTAACCTTTCCAGAGCAATCAGTTGTTCTAAGGAAAATGCCGTGTTATCACTGCCTAGTATTCGCTTGGGTACACCACTGTTGCGGATAAGCTGTTGCCATCCGACACCAGCAATGCTTCGCAGATAACGATAATCAAAGAGTTGAAGGCGTCGCAGGTCCTCAAATAGGAGGATCCAAGTCTTGTTACCATAGAGTAGGGCGGCCCCCACCGCGGCCTTCCAAACGGTGGAAAACTCTTTCTGGCGCCACAATGTCGTAGATTTAAAGACACTTCCAGCTTTGCAATACGTGAACTGACTACAGTTGCCATGTGTCCATGATTGCAGATACAACTGCTAACGTATGTGAATTGATCAACTACTTCGAGTTCTTCGCCATCAAGGGTCAAGTGGACGTCAATTGGTTGGTAGTACTGTAACAGCACTTTGCACTTTGAAGGTGCGAAGTGCATGTTGGAACCACTCTAGAGGTTAATCAGCCCCAAGACCGTAAAAAAGCAGGACGATATCGTCCGCATACTAAAAACAACTAGCTTTTCACCAGGCAGCACCTCAAGGCCTGCATCGTGAGATTCCGCAAGGGAACACTTTATGATGGAGTCCAAGTTGAACAAAAAATAAAGAAATTGGGCATGACGAGCGCCACTTGTTGTCGGAAAGGCATCAGGCAAATCACCGTAGACCCTGACGTAGCCTGTGGTGTACGAGTATAACGCACGTAAAATTTTCGCATATTTTATGGGAACACCTTTCGTGCAGAATGCATCGATCGATAATGTGGTCTAGACAGCCACGTCCTGGGCGGAAGCCTGCCTCCTCTTCCCTAATCCGTGATTCTCGTTCCGCAGTGAGGCGTCGAACTAGAATTGAGGCTATTAATTTTGTCACCACCGGCATCAGACTAATACCCGTGTTCAACCACACAGTCGGTGCGACTGCCTTTTTTGTGTAACGCCACTATAATTGATTCATTCCAGTTAGCTGGGATGGTCTTTCAAACCTGCTCGAAAAGGAAGGTCAGTCGTTTGCAGAGGATCTCACCTCCATACTTAAATTGTTCGGGTGCGAGCAAATCCGGGACAGCAGCACGAAAACGACTAAGGGCTGCGACCGCGCTTCGGACCTTAGCCTCTGATGCTTGCAGTTTTTTTCATACAGACAATATTATATAAATTACAAAAAAGTAAGGGTTACAAGTACAAATTTCGATGTCGTCAGATCCGGTAAAAATCAATGATGTAGTATCGTTTATGTTTAAGTTACTAGTAAGTCAATCTGGTACTTTCACTAAAGGAGTCCTAACTAAAAAAAACATAAAAGATTGCCAGATCTCACTCTTACCATTCACATAAGAAACTTGTAATAAAAAATTTATGTTTGTCATCTTTGGTTACTATCTTAATGTCAGACTGTACATGGCCTGACATATTTTTACCTCACAAAATGTGGCCCTCCTTGCGAAAAGTTTGGACACGCCTGCTCTAAACTAACTGGCCAAGTTTCAGGCTGCAACACCTGGGTAAGTGGTCCAGAAGCAGGAAGACAACTGAACTGCTCTAGAGAGCGCTCCGCCCAAAGCAAAAACTGTAATCATTTCAATCAAAAGCTGCAAGTGAGATAGATGTACAGCAACAAGGACCTGTAGCCGATCCGCGGGCGTCACGGTAACACGTAAGAGGTCGATAGGTTTTGCTTCCTGTTATCATTACCCTCATATTCCTCTCCGGCACTCTTCCTTTCCTCTTCCGTGCTTCCTTTACATCGGCCTCTTACTAGGCGGCTCGAGCGTGCAGCCGTCTACGAGGTATTTATTTTGCATTGCAACTTGTCACACTACTTGGACCCGGAAGAGCTCAGAACGCCGGACCGAAGGAATATTACAACTTTGGCGACCCTGCCAGTTCACGACAGCACTCCACGCTAGCTAGATTGTAGCTCTTGAGGCAATAATTAACTTTCTACTATCGTGCTGCTTGTCGTTGAATCTTCCGAGCCTACTATACCGCGCTCAATGCCTCTTGCAGGTACATAAATTGATGCCGGTATGGGCCATTATGGGCGCTGAGGACAGCGCAGGCTAGGAGGGGGGAGAATGTAGCCGGTCCGCGGGCGTCACGGTAACACGTTAACAGGTAGGAGGTCGATAGGTTTTGCTTCCTGTTATCATTACCCTCATATTCCTCTCCGGCACTCTTCCTTTCCTCTTCCGTGCTTCCCTTACATCGGCCTCTTACTAGGCGGCTCGAGCGTGCAGCCGTCTACGAGGTATTTATTTTGCATTGCAACTTGTCACACTACTTGGATACGGAAGAACTCAGAACGCCGGACCGAAGGAATATTACGAACCCAATTATAGGCGTAACAGGAGCTCCCGGTCTTCCATGAGTCATAAAAAGCATCAGGAATCGCGGTACTTAGTCAGGACGAAGGAGAGAGAGAGAGAAACATCGTTTCATTGGACGGATGCATCTACCAGAGGCTGCTGCAAAAGCATTCGTGCGCAAAAAGAAGTGTAGATGGCGGTTGGACTGTTCGCTGAGCTTGGCAATTTTGTTGCAAATGTTTCGTCACCAATAGAGGTGACATCATCAGTGCGTAGTTGCGTGGCGTGCAGTAGAGTAGAGGAGCCACCGTGAGTGTGCATACACGGTCCGTTGAAGTTCGGCTCACCCGCTTTTAGTGCAAATAGAACATTACAAAATAATAAAAAGCGAAAACATATGTGAGAAGTGCAAATAGATACATGATATGTAACAAAAACGTACCTTGTGGGGCGTCCCATGTAGATACCCGGCGTAGGTGAATGTGGCCTATCAGTGATACTGAAGTCGCATCGAATCGGGCGCCCATCCACTTCCATTCCGTGCGCATCCGCTTTTGCGGCTTTGGCGTCTGATACATGATTGAAATACACAAAGCCGAAACCTCGTGAACGACCTTCAGGAAATAGAGGAAAGTGTGACCTACCCGTATAGTTGTCGTAAACTAACTGAACATCATCGATTGGGCCGTAGCGAGAGAAAATATCGTACAAATCACGCTCCTGCGTGTGCAGAGATAGTCCGAAAACACCGAGACATCGAGAAGGCTTAGCATTCTCCCGTGAGCCCAAGTAACGCCTAACATGAAGGTAAAATGTTCGGAAAGGTTACAGACGAGACGCAGCAGACGTTAGTTTGTTAAAGATATCCGACATCTGACTGAGTGATAAACGTTCGGGGACCTTAAAGGCCTCCTCATGAAATTACGAGCTACGAAATGTGACGCGTCTCGGGTTTAACTAAGCGTTGGTAATCGCTAGTTGAAAAGTATAAACAAGAACGAAACAAGACGTAGAACATCATGCGTTGAGCGAGCGTCGCCATTTCTAAAACGGCCTCATCATCGTCATTAGTACACATATGCTGAAGGTATGAAACAAAATTCGCCAACTTCGCCGCAATACAAAAGAGAAGTTATAGAAAGCAAAACGCAAAATATTACAGAATACAAGTTAAAAACCAGAAAACCAGTAACGCGATGCTAATTATCAAAATAATATTATAATGCCCAGTATCAGGTGTGCGATAATTATTGGACGAGGAAGATAAGCGGGAGGGGGAGGGACAAAGAAAAACAATACAAACAAAGTTGGGGTCTGCGCTTCGTCACATCAGCAAGTGTATCTCACCAAACGTGTGCATCGTCCCTCGGAGCTCAGACCAGCAGCTGGGAGGCACCAATCGACACTAGCTTCGAAGTGAAGGTTTTCATTTTATTTGGTCAACCCACTTCTTGCATCCAGACACCGGTAGCGCAAACAACGTACGGCGCGGGAGTCGATGGGCTGGCATGCGTAGCACGTGGCCCAACCATCGGAGCCCGGCGCGTGAAATACCGATGCTGAGCGGTTCACCCGCTATTCCTGCATCAAATACAAGATGCACACATGCACTGCATACGCGGTGTTCCCACCAGGCATGAGCTAAGGTGCGAAGGCCGAAATGATCGCACGCAACCAACCTTTTTACATCTGTCAATCAGGTCGGTAAAGTTTCGCTAAAGTACAGGAGGATTGAACGGACGGCTGCACTGTAAACTTTGTCCTTCAGGGCAAGAGCAATGTAGTGCCTGCGTCAAAAATGGATGAGACTGGCAAAAGCGCATCGAGACATACGGTAGGTAATCTCATTTTCCATTCCCACGGGAGCTAATATAGTTGCCTAGATACTTTCTTAGCGGAACGACTTCTAGCTAATCAACACTAAGAGGTGTAGGGGAGGGTCACTGTCAATAAATACGACAATAAAACCTTTCATCAAATAATTTCTTGATGCTGACCGTCACAGAAGAATCAACCACGCTGTGACTGTCGCTGGGTGAATAAGGGTGAGGATGCAATTGCGCAGACCCTCCATTCATATTAATCCTCTCATCATACCACTTCAAATTCCGATCGTCTCATTTCAACTTCACATTAATACCAAGTTTAACCCCCCCCTCAAATTTCGCTCAGTAAGCGTTTGTCTCCTAGTTTCCGCTCTCATGCAATCGCAGGGTGTTGCTCAGGTGTAGTCGGGAAATCAATGTGCAGGCAATCGGACAACGGGCTGGTTAACCGAACAATCTCCGCGTGGTGCCAGCTGGGTGGTTCGAGTTTACCCCGTTCCAGCAAATGGCTCAGAGGCAGTGTTCCAGGAGGGGGTGGGTTTTCGCGTGGCAAGCGTTCTCCATACAAAAAGCCACATAATCCTGTCTAACAACACTGCGACGTCGCGGGCGTGACTGACCACCAGATAAAGTCAGTGGTATGGGGTCGCGGCCGCCATGCATGACGCAGGAGCATCTGCTTGTGGCACTATCAATGGTCACCGCACCAGTCACTGGATATCTGAGAGGTCAGTGAACCTGTTGGAATCCACAAGAAAACTCCCGGCTGGCTCTGAGCACAATGTGACCAGACAAGCTATTAGGCGCGAACTAAAGTGGAGCCTGCGTGCTGACAAGGAAGCCTGGTGGACCATTCGGGCTCAAGAAATGAAGGAGACAGGAGCAGTAGGCAATTACCGCAAGCTCTTCCAGCCGATCCACACCATTGGTCTCAGGAAATCAAGCGTCAGGGAGACAATCAGACAGCGAGGGTGCACTGACACACAATAAGGAGCGCCGAATGACTCAATTTAGTTAGCTATCTACTCCCAGACCGCCTCCTACTCAGGTGATGCAGGACAACCAATGGACGGTTAGTTTAGAGCCTCCGTCGGAGGCCGAGATCCGAAATGCGATCACAGACCTCAATAGTTTTCGTACTACTCGCCCGGATTCCCACCCACCTGCACTATTTAAGGATGAAGGTGAGGTCCTCTGCAAAGCGCTGACCTCCCTATTCGAACATAGCTGGAAGGAAGTGTCCCGGCTAACGAGTGAATCGATCATAACAACAACACAAGAAGAGCAGTCGCACAGACTGTGCTAACAACATGGGTATTAGCCTAACGTCAGTTGTGACAAAATTACTGGCTTCGATTCTCGTTCGTCGCCTCACTGTGGAACGGGAATCTCAGATTCTGGGAGAGCAGACAGGTTTCCGTCCAGGACGTGGCTGTATAGACCATGTATACACTGTGGCAGGTGCTAAAGCAGCGTCACGCATACCACAGACCGACAATAGCAGTGTTCCTCGATTTCAAGAGTGCGTCTCCCTTTCCAGGCTGGAGTTCACACCCGCCTTGTGCTTGGTTCGAGACTCCACAGGGCATAGATCGCAGTGGCGCATCTGCTGCCGTCTTATAGTCGGACTGCCTGTTTAATGTGTTTGATGCTGAGTTATCTACGGGATAATGACTGAGTATGACACGGGGCAGTGAAAACCGCAAGGAAGCTGTCTCGTTGATGCCGCCTTATCTATGCACGACAGCCAAGTGTTTGTGACGGTATGTTGCTAACACAAGGTGTAGGCGCATTGACCCTGAATGTTTGCTTAGGGAAGTTCTCCGCTCTTATTATTCTTTATTTCATAAATCATCATGGTGGTATGGCAGCGAAGCATCAGTTCAAATAAATGATGTACTGTTGTAAATGATGATGAAGAAAGTCAATGCCCCTTGCTTCATCCTAGTGGAGCATTGCATTTCACCAATTTTGTACTAAAAGTATAGGGAGGATTGGGCCCCGGTTTGGTGATTTAGCAAGCGAAAGGTGTATGAACCGAGAAATCGGTCAGTGGCTCCCAATGAGCGCGATTCCCCGGATTCGTCTTGACTTGGGGGTAGGCTATCTGCCTAAATGCTCGAGGTGGAGTTCCCTAAGACACTTTCCCTACTTCGGCTAGGGTAACCGGGTAGCATCGTGCCCGCTGTAGAAACCATGGATCACACTACTACTTCCTCGTACGCTCTGGTTCCTCTCTCCATGGCCTCTCACTAGTCTGTATCACATACCGACCGATCTGTCATTAATCAGTTACCCTGAGTCTAATCCATTGGTTCCGATGCCCCCCACAATGTCCGGCTTGAGGATATCCTTCGACCCAGACTCTCGTTTCGTCTCAGGCCTTTGCTATACGGTTTGTGATCTCATCTTTTGGTCCACAGACGCTAATATAGCTGCCCAGATACTAGAACTACGTAAGTACTAAATGATCACCAAGAGTCAGCGCAGCAGTAGGTCCCTGCCAATCTTGAAGGACTTAGGGTTACGAGGGTACAAGGTATGGCCCAAAATGACTGACAGCAGTGCTAATTTATCTGGTACTGCTTGCTACGTTTGAGAGCTGCCACAGATACGCGCTATTTCGTCGGTGTAATCCAAGTCAAGAAGTCAATCATCTGGAAGCAGTCCCGCACCCTGTAGATCGCAGTTTCCATGACTGCGTTAATGGCGGTTAAAGAATAAAGGTGTCAGCTGGCTACCTTGTATCACATCGTTGGAGATATTGAAGGGAGGTGACAGCTTGACATAAGCCGAAGTACGCGAGTACAGCGCTCTGATAAAGTTTGCCTATTTATCGGACACACCTTTCTTGAGCAGACAGTCCTAAAGTGCACATCGACCCACCACTGGATCGAAGCCAGCTTTAATGTCGAGAAACATGAATAGAGTAAGTTGCCAATAAATATGGCGATGTTCCAGCAATTGACGCAATGTGAAGAGGTGGCCAATGCAGTCCGATTTCAGTGAAACCCGGTTTGCTCCTCGCGAATCTGGCTTTCACGACTGCCAGCCAACCAAAAGAAAGCGATTTAGGAGCAATTAAGAGCGGACTAATTCCTCTATGATTGCCGCATTCCGGAGGTCAGCATCCTTTGAAGATAGGAGCCATGACGGAGCAGTTCCAATCTGTTAGAACAGTATCTTGCTGTCACAGCTTTACTAGCAAATGGTGCAAACCATCCACAAGAGCCGGTTCCCCGAATTTGTAAAGGGCAGGAAGTCTGTCTGTTGCTGGTGCCTTATTCAATTGCAACAGGCGGATCCAAGTGGTCGACCCAAGGAGAAGAGCAATCAATGCCCGAAAAAAAGCCGGTTGATAAAACTGCATTCCAGCGTGTCTGGCCCAGTGCTCCAAGCGCTTTGACACGCTGTGGATCGGCTGTCTACTTTCGTCGCGCATGGTCTCGCTAATATTAAGTCTCCTGATGTCCGTTTCTCGTATCCGGCGGAATAACTTATGTTGATTATCAACGGAAGCGGCTGTTTTTAACTCTGATGCACGATGAGATCACCAAACTTCGCGATCCCTCTGCAGACTAGCACACACTTTCGCTCTGGTATCGTTGCGTGTTTCATTGTGTGTGCTTCCAGCCGCAACATGTTGGCGAGCATCCAGTAGTTCCAGAGACTCTGTACAGACCCAATGTCCAGGTTGCAGATTTGAATCGCTACATGAAGACGTGAAAGATGTAAGTAGTACGTCAGTATGCAATAAGAACGCTCCGCACTAGCGCAGCCACCACGTCTCGCGTGGACTAAGGATACGAGGACTGAGCATTAAGTTTCCAGATACGCAACACAGATTAGGTGCAGATGACCTGATGAAAAACATGTGAACTGTAATCCGTTCTGAACATGGTCCAGTGATTCCAACTCAGAATCCAATAGCACCGACCCAGCACAGTTCACAATGGTAGCTATACCCTGA